CCTTCTCTTTACCTAAGTCTATTATTCAAGTAGCAATATTTCCTGCTTATTTTTCCATCATCATTCTCGAAATTCATTGTATTGCTTAATCTGTCGATTTCAATGGTCTCCTTAAGTTTCCGCTTAGTAGCCGCCATACCATAATCAATAAGTTTCCAAGTTTGAGAACATTATACCTCATATCCAGCTTTCGCCAATTCTGATAGTTGATTCCGACATCTTTTACAGGCCCTCTTGTGGGTAGCCACCCCTTGCTGAGTTGGGCGACGAGTCTCTTTAGCATCAAAGCAATCATATCAACTCTTTATTTTATAGCAGCTCGAACTGGATATTATATTACATTTCTCCCCCAAAGTTGACATAATAGGGAAAATATGCCACACTTTCTTATAAAATCGTTTTTTTGTTTACAATTCCATACCCCCTAGCCATCCCTTTCAGATATAAGACTTCGAAGCACATTCAGAACTTGAGAAGAATCTTTAGATATTCAGGTTTTCTAAAGTATTTCTTAATATTTATTTCTAATTAATCTGATGACACTGTAAAAGCCTAGAGGAAAATAATTATCGCGTAACATTTTTTAAAAGTATATAGACGTTGTTTGACCTTGTTTTTGCAACTTTGTTAAATTGGTAGGAAGACCTAGAGGAATGCTCCTAGTCCGGAACCGGACCGTGAACGTAGTACATTCCCAGACGTTTCGCCTGCATCGTCAGTGAGCATCGTCAACATTAGCACCACACTGCAACACGCCAGAGACAAGTGAAGCTGACCCTTTGACCAATTTCCTGCTAAACAAATTATATTTATGGGTTGACCTCGCTTTCAAAACTTATTCTTTTTGGCAAGGAGACTTAGTCGAACTCACCTTGTCCAGAGTCCTCTGCCATATTAGTTATCAGAATTTCCAGAGTCAGACCGTGGATTTGGTACATTCTCAACCGTTGCCCTGGTATTATAGTCAGCATCATCAGTAAGTCTTGCCATTCTCAGCACCAATCTAAAATTCGTCAGGGACAAGTGATATAAATCCCTTGAGTCGGAATAATTGTTCTATCATTCCACTTTCTGTCCTGAACCACCTATATACTCCTTACTCTCTTATCCCACTTTCGCCCTATCACAACTTCTGACAGGTTTACATTCCATTCGTCAGAAGCTGTGCCTTTTTTGGCAAGTTTATTGTGACGTCGTCAAACTTGCTGCTCACCTTGCCCTCCTCTCCTTCGATCGGCTAATCCAACTCGGGCTTCCTATCCCGATCTCCCTCCTGGTCTCGTAGATCCGTTTCTTATCTTTCTGATTGATAGATTTCACTCGATTCCAGCTTCACTTTACGTTTTTTAGGCGCTATTTCGCAAGCGTCCGACTAGGCCACCCTGATAACTAGACCAGGTTGCGAAAACTAAGTCAACCTACTTCTATCCATCGAAAGGAGAGTTTGACCATATTCATTGGATGTTACTTAGTTATGCTTCACAGCAGGAAGTCTCCTTCAGAGTAGATTATAATTTCGACCTAGTCTGGGTGCCATCGACACCTCTAACTGGAATCTAACGCAGATTCGCATCGCATAATTTCGTCACATTACCACTACGACAGGCAAGCTCAAAACGAGAGCGTATCCTAGATAAAAATAGCTTTTGACAAACAGGCTATGTAAAATTTAATTAAAACGTGATACTTGCATAATTTATTGATGGAAAATTCTGCTATCAGTACTTCATCACCTAATACGATATATAGCGAATTCAGCTCTTATGCAGTATTGGTAAGCCTAGTTTGCTCATTCACCAAATAGACCAAATCCCTAATTTTTTTCATAAAAACATACATTTAGGATATACATTCAGCATGCATGGATAAGCCACTACATTTTCTTTATTCATAAGATATTTGTTTATTTTGACATGAATTTCAATTTCGAAGGAAAAGTTGGTGGGAAGGAATTCGGGAAAAAGCTTATCTATGTAAGGAAATAGCTGCAATTGAATTCCCTTTCTCTTCCTGAATAAACTTTACTCATCTGCAAACATGCAGAGCAAGTTTGAGGTAGTCAACCAAATCATAGAAGGCCTCATGCAGATCACAAGTATAGGTGTATAGAAAAGTAACTAGGGTTAAAGTCTACTGAGCTCTTTCTTAGTTTAGTATATTTACCCTAAATGGAAGTGATCGAGATAATTGCAAACCAAGAGATTCATCGAAACACATTTTTCTTGGTAATTCCGTCAGGACTTATTGAGATCACGAATGTTATCAATTACAAATTCTAGCTTCACGTCCTAGAATGCCTGTCATTTACACACCTGTTTGGGTAGCGGCAATTTGGGCATGGAGATGTCAAAATTCTAGTCTATTTGAGAGAATTTGAAATAAATTACACGGTAAAACTCCACGGCATTCATCCTCCAAGTCTATTACTATTGGGCAGCTATTACAATAAACAATTTAAATAACTGGGATTCGAATCTCGCTGAGAATACTGATGAGACCTATTGAGCTTGGAACTGCAGTCTACCCTGGATGAGAATACCTTTTGGGAATCAAGGATAATTAATATAATTTGGAATTAAATAGAAACGTAGGGCCTAGTTATATCATCGCGGCAAAACCCAACTAGCAGACCTCCATCAATTTTAACGTAAGTCAGTTTTTAAATAAATTTGTGTACTATGCTGCACTACCAAATTTTCTCCTCTTGCTAATCCTATTTCTTATTTCCTTCGCCCTCACATTCCGCACTAATTCCCACACTTACACCTACGGATATACACACAAACACGTATGTCCACCATCTTTCTCTTTAACCAAGCATTCGTGCATGCTTAATTCCTTTCTCTACCATGAAATCTCCTTTTCTTTTTTTCATAGAACCCTGCGTATGCCCTTAAATGAAGTTGCATTTATATGTAGTCTCGCAATTACATAATAATCTTGCACTAAACCATGTAACTAGAGCATACAAAAAATGCGCATACTTGACATCTCACAAAATTTCAAACACGCCTGCATAAATTCGCACTTACACACACACACACACAATTAACGTGATACCTGATTTCAGCCAGCCCTCAGATTGTACATTTCCCACCATCCCAGCTTAAGGTGGACGAAGGTGATCGGCTGAGTACCACTTGTGTAGCTACTGGAAAGCCACAGCCCTTGCTTGCCTGGTTCGTATGGCCAGCCAAGGAGGGTTCCAATCCAGCCACTGCTCTGGCTATCTCAGCTGGGCAGCTACACCTAAATCCGCTAATGACAGAACCAGAGTCTTACGACCCTCAACAATGGAGTTCCGTAGCCAGACCCATATCCGCTGTTTCTATGTTAGTGCCGGGATTTGGACAGATGACCATTGGAACGCGCTTGACCGGACAGTTGAACAGGGAGACGTTTCAGCCAGCCGAAACAGCCTTTACCTACCTCACAGAGACGGGAAGACCAGAGTGTAGGTGGCTTTGTAATTTTCCTATGACAAATGTTAAGTCCCTTTGAATCTGTATCACTTAAATATTAATAAGTTTCATTTTTATTTGTAAATTACAAGCGCCATACTAACTTTAGCATTGACTTTATGAGAGATATATAGAATAATAGCAAAGTATACTTGTAGCCCTCACATTTTTATAAATGCGTGTAGCATAAGTTTATAGTCTTGCTGAATTAAGTACTCTTTGTTAGTGAAAAACAAAACATACTTTTATTAGACTTTATATTATTTTGTTGACAGGGGGACTTAGTATCACACACCTAGTCCGAAGTCGTCTGTCATAGTAGTTGTCATGATTCGAAAGGATACTGCAACCATACCAGAGGCCACAACATCTTGGTCTTCATAGCTTCATATTATTTGTTTATAATGGAAGCCTGCCGCAGAAGAGGTATATCCTAGAAACCTGGACATCCTGCTGACTTTAATAACCGCGTCTGGGCTCAAGTTATAAGTTGTTAGCGTATGACCTGTGGCACAAAAGCTACTGTTTTTGAAGAGCTGTGTTAAATAGTGCAATTCATAGGCTCGCTTGATAAGATTTCGTGTCCTTTATTCTACTTCGAAAGCAATACTAGCATTTATTTCAGACCACATATCATTAGGTGTAAATTATTTTTTACTTCAGTAAAGTTTATTGCAAGAAATTACTCATTTAAACTTAGCCAACAACATATTTTCTGAAAGGCGCCTTCTCTAACGTATCTCGTTTTAGAGAAAGTACATTCGGAATGGAAGCTTCTTATTCCGAACGATAAGTATGGCTTACAGCTGCGAGAAGGCTCCAAATTAAGAATAATCTATTTGAGAATAAATCATCAATTATGAATAGGCGAAGCTACAGGCATTTTAAGGGCGGATGAAATTACTGTAAGTACACATGATGCAAGTAAATCATTTTAACCTTGTCTGATAAGAGGTTTTCTCATCTAAAATAGGTTGCAGTCTCACCTCCAAGCAAGATTCGGATTCAGGTCACACACGTAGTGGCAACGCATTTTGACTCGGCTTAGCAACCGAGAGTTTCAGGATTTTAGAGGGCAGAGAGGATTCCTAAGGCAAGCGGAGTCTCCTCCTATTCAAATTTATGGTGCGAATGGTGGAAATTTTTTATCTATCGCTACCGTCCACGGCATAGTTAATAAGTTTAGAAATTATTAATAATTCCTGTATATGAATATGAGCGATGAGAATTAAACAGTTTTCTCGTTTGTAGGTTTAATGATATAGCAAAAATGTTCCAAAAGTGAAATACCATTACATGCATGAAGGAAGCAAATTGAAGATAATTCTTTGCTAAAAAAGAAGGCCCTTTTATTCTTCTTAATATATGGAGGAACATTCATCTCCTTATTTTTCACTAAGTATGCGGTAATGGAATATTCCAATAGCTAAATGTTATTCCCTTTCAGTTGTCTCAAGCGTAAATGGAAGTCTTGAGATTAGACGCCTTCATCGAGATATGTCCGGCGTTTACGTCTGCTTGGCAAATAATGGAGTAGGACCCTCTAGTGCCAAAGCTCTCTGGCTTCTTGTCAAATGTAAGTCCAAACCATTTGTAAATTTTGTTTCATTTGTGTCGATATTCCAGCATGTCAGCCTAGATATGATGTATATTTTGACTATAGGTCTTAGCAAAAATGCCAACGGCCTCCGAAGCCAATTATTACACGCCAAGTGGAGAAACTTTATTAATTATCCATATTGTATTAATCCCAATAAATCATAAATGACATGCATATACCAAGAATACTACCTCCATGAATGCTGTACCTCTGGTCCTAAAACTCTGGTTCAGGACAATTAGAATTAGTTGTCTCGCTAGTTTAGTTTTTGAGCCATTTTAATATTCCTTAGCTGTTCTATTGTTAATTAATTAAATTACTTCTTATCAAATACTAAGAGCTCTAGTCACCCTAGGTAATATCGCTGAATTTTTCCAAAATGATACATGTAAGCCTTACAAAGCTATTGAGTTTGACTGGGTATGAATAACTTTTGGAAAGCAAGTCAAAGTAAAATTCAGCGCTATCATGGAGCCTACTCATCACATTGTAAGAATGATTCGCCTATCCGTTCTTTATCACCTTACTTTGACCCAGAGTGGTTGGAATATCTATATGTAGTCTCGAAGCCTCCTATATATGAATAAATTATTTATAATTGATTCTTAGCTGGAAATCAACCTAGCTAAGATTAGTTTGATGTTGGAGCAACTTTCATTTCGTTTGAAGAGGCGAGTGGAAGGAATTCGTAAGTTGCTCTCACCGGAAGCTGTAGAGCGATTGCCTTGGAGCTGTGACTGTAGACTTGTGCGACCCAGATAAATCCTCGCTGAGCTTTTGACCGTTATGTGGTGGACAACATCAAAGTAGGATACCATGCTTAAGGATGATTTACCAAACTGAAAGACAAAAACGGTGACCAGCTACAATCCTGCCTATCTTTTATACTCCAACTTGGTCCACTTAATGAGGCATCCCATGATTTGGTTAGATATAATATGCTTTGTCGAAATGTTTGTTAAAGAGTTAAGTTTAGTGACTTCTCATTAAGCGTGAGGCAAAGACTTATTGAGGTCTAAGAGCGGCGCGCCAAAAACCTATTCACACAAATCTAGTCATAGCTCCAAGGCTATCCCCCTACACCTTCCGGCGAGGCCAACTTGCGCTTACTTCCATTCGCCTCTTCAAACGAAATGAAAGGTATTCCAACATAAATCTACTAAGGGACTCTTCGAAATCCAGTTTTTCCACATGCCTAAGATTAATATATTTCCAGTAATCTATTAATTGCATTAATATATAAATTTTTGCCTTCCATGAGGGCCCCGTTCGGTTATAATAGAAAATGTGACTATCTTCGAGCATAGTCATAAGTAAATTCCTTTTATTATTATTATTTTTACTCATGCTTAAGAGCCATGTGAGTATTTGATTTGTTCATTTAGTCCTACACTCATCCTTGAGTCTGAGATAACTCCCAGAAAAAATATGACATTGCCCTTGCATTATATTTAGGTAAGTGATCAAGTTTAAGGATGAGATGAATATAGATGGTCTTATTTGTTGCAAAGAAAACCATTATTTGCTCGTTTTTAT